GTATGTCTGGACGACTCGTTCGCCAACGGTATCACTAACGGCGCCGATTGGTATGACGTGCCCGGTATGTGTCCGCCCGACCACTGGTTATCACTGACCACTATATATAAGTGTTTTATATTTAATGTATGTTTGGTCTCTCTTTAGGAGGAATGCAAGACTTTAATTACATTCATAGCAACTGTTTTGAGATAACTCTTGAGCTCTCGTGTTGTAAATATCCAAAAGAGGCGGAACTCGAGAAGGAATGGCTTAATAATAAAGAATCTCTTTTATCATACATTGAAATGGTATACAAAATCTTAATTTTAAAGCTAATTTCATATTAATTAACTGAAAAATTTGATTTTTAGGTCCAAATGGGAGTGAAAGGTCTCGTCAAAGACTCGGTGACCGGTAAAGCCATCGAAGGCGCAACACTTAAGATCGATGGCATTGATCATAACGTAGTGACCACTAATAGAGGGGAATACTGGCGGTTAGCGCTGCCCGGCGTATACCAGATGACGGCCTCAGCCGTCGGCTACGAATCTCTAATAAAAAAGGATGTTGTGATTAAAAACACGACCGCCGGTACGCCTCTTGTACTCGACTTTCAGCTCAATCCTATCGGCAGTCAACGCTATCCCAGTGTCAACAGCCCGGACGCGGTGCCAGTGGTTGTCGACAATCATAAAAGCAGCCAATCGTCGTCGTCTAAACCCACCGCAAGTTTGAAAGCTTCTACTGCCGGTGTGGCCACAGTGGGTCAACACTGGGCCGAACGCTGGAACCAATCCGTCCATAACATGACTTCCAAATACGACTTCCGCACGAAGACTGAGTACAAACATCACAACTACACTGACCTCAAAGACTATATGCAACGGTTGAACGCAAAGTATCCGCATTTGACGCGACTTTATTCTATCGGCCAATCGGTGGAGAGCCGGGACCTACTGGTGCTCGAGATCGGCACCACTCCAGGCGTGCACCGGCCGGGCGTACCCGAGTTCAAGTACGTGGCCAATATGCACGGCAACGAAGTGATCGGACGGGAACTGTTGCTACTCTTCTCCAAGTATCTGTTGGAGAACTACGGCACTGACCCTCGCATCACACGTCTGGTCAACTCGACGCGAATCCATTTGATGCCAACCATGAATCCCGACGGTTACGAGAAGTCACTGCTCGGCGACTGTAACTCAGAGTACGGCCGCGGAAACGCTCACAAAGTGGATCTCAACCGCAATTTTCCCGATCAGTACATGACGTTCAAAGAGAATA